CTCATCCAAAAAAAAAGTGTCGCAACCTCATTGCTCCCCACTGTACAATATTTTAAGATTGTAAACAGTATTAGAGTTTAGCATTAGTCTTATTTGCTGTGAGAACTGTAACAATTTTTACCTTAATTTTTTACTTTAACACATCACATTGGTGATTAAAGGTTCTCACCTCTATTATGCCCTCTAGGTATCCAAATAAAATACAATTTTAATAAAAATCCTCGCATGTAAAGCCTTTCTCAATTCGTTGATTTAGTTTGTAAAACTGGAGCAGACACGTCCATTAGTTCACACAAATTATTTCGGATCGGGCGTAAATCTGGGATTGGTTGCTCCCAATCTGTCGCGTTCAATTTTGTGAGTATATTTGTTAAATCTTCTTCCGCTATATCCATCTCCTCTCCGTAAAGGGTCAACGTCTCGTAAGTACGTATAGCCGTTGTCTTCCTCAAGCTCCTATATTTGTGGCACAAAAATATGCTCAATTGACAAAATGCTCTCTTTGCAACGGGTCCCCGTACCTAGAAACGTGACATTAAATGTAATATTCAATGTGAGATACAATTTTAATCATTATACATTTTAATAAAGTTACATTATATATTTATATGAAATCATTTACCGTTATCCATCAAGGATTGTTCTGGTCAATTTTTACAAACCTGCAGTAACTGGCAGAAAACATTTATACTGCTGATGAGCAGTTTTATATTACTGGAATATTTTATTTCGTGTTTTAACAGCGTCAATATACGTTCCGAGATTGTATTGTCTGCATCATCTAGGACAGACTGAATACAGCCTGAACTCAATAAACGATCCAAGAAAGCCAACATTGACGTTATCATTCGTTCATTTTTATGACTTTCCTCGAATATATCCAATATTTTTTCACACAAATCCTTTAAACCCGCCTCATCGATCTCTTGTAGATAAGTAAATAAGGACACACTCGAATATTTGACCTGGCAACGGTAAGAGATAAAAGAGTGAGATATCTAGTAAATAGGAATTGCTTAGACAAGTAGTAAAATTACAAATCGTCTATCAAGTAAATTAGTTTACGCGTGTTTAGATAACGTTTTATAAGTGATGTAAGATCGTAATAACTTTTAATAAATATTATATTTACCAATGATTCGCTTATGCCGCCAACGCTGAATATAATACCGCGTAACAAATTTATTTTATACGGCGGAAAGCTTAGCATCTTAATAAATCGTGGAAACGTTGCAGATTCCATTCGCCACTCGATAGTTTCCTTACATTCGTTATAAGGAAATATAGCTTTCAACTCGTCGTGATATGGTACATTTGGAAGTGGCGGATCGCTATAAGGAAAAGGGATCGATTAATTGTAATTATTCATAAATCATGCTATTTAAATTCTTTACTACTACTTTATTTGTTTTTTTATTAGTAAAGAATTGTAAAATCACAGGAGACGTATGTTTTTACCTGTGTATAAGTGCACTGAATACAGTACCGGCCTGGGCTCGAATTCCATCTATTCTCTCGACAGCTTGCTGTGCGACACCGCCGATGATACCAGCCATTAAATCCTCGCTCAATACGGATAATAGTTTTGCTTGCGACACTAGATTCGTTAATACCTGCAGCAACGTAGATATTTTAGTGACAATTCATTTTCTGTCGCAACAACAATTTTGCTGCGATGCAATACTCACGTGTAATCCAATCATAGCCGCTTCTCTTACCCAAGCGCCTATATCTCCACGACTATCTAGGGTATATTCTTTGAGAGCCAACAAATAACAATTGTACAGATCTGGTACAAACGGTTGCCACTTGTCTGAGAGAAAAGAATATATTTAGTTGCAGTGAATGTCGCGTGAAGTGTTAATGTGAATATATGAATGGGGACTCACCGACTTCGTCAATTCCTAACGTCTGCAACACCATTATTAGAGAGTGCAAAGCTTCCTTTCTACTCTCCGCCCATTTCAGCGTGTTCTCCGACACGTGAGTGCACGTGATTAACGAGTTTATGACGTCTTTCACTCTTTCACGGATTACAAACAGTGAGAAATGCCCTGTAAAAGAAAATTAATTAAACAGATGACTACATATGCTTGTGGCACATGTATGTGGAATGAATCTTTCAATTTACCTATTGCTTGTGCGAATCCTATTCTAATGGACTGACTGTTCGATTGTAAGGACTCCAAGTAACGATTAACTACAGCGCTTCGGGCGTCATAATCGATATCTACATAATATTCTACGAAGAAATTCGTATGTGCTTCGGCCGCTTTTAATTTAACTGCCGATACTTCGTGGCTCAGGCATTCTTCTAATAACTTTTGCCAGTCATCTGTGTTATCAATGACGAATAGTATATTAGATACAAAAGCAACTTTTTAAGAAGTGAAACTTGTAAAACTATTGATACGTGCCGACAACGTCCGTAAAATGAATGGGAAAATGAACAGTGGAACATTTCTTAATTAGCACAGCACACGCTTGTTTCATTAGCTCTCCGCCGAGACCTTTAAATTGTCCTCTAGTTCTGAAAGTTCGCACTATATCCGTTATATCAATTGTAGCAAAGGCTCCTGAATAAAAAATCGACGTTAGAGATATTTTAAGAAAAATACAACCTGATCTCCATGTATGGTTTTACATATTTTTACCGATAATATTCTCAATTTTATCGTTACAGTGATTGTACAGAGCTTCGAGAATTTCCGCAGTGGCTAATACAGCACCGTGCCTAACATTTAAATCGATGGAATTTAGCATGTTCAGCAAGGCCGGCAGTACTTTAGTTGTCATGTAATGCGGATCAGCTGTCGTCAGATTGAAAAGCGACTGCAATAAATTACTAATGATAGAGCCGAAAATTAAACATTCAATTAGTATTACCGTCGAAACTTGAACCTACCTTAGCCGAGAGCTCTCTAATTGCGGTGTCCCAATGTGTGACCTTTTTTGCCACTAGGTGATCTATCAAGGGCTTCGTGTATTCTTCATATTGTGCGATTTGTACGCTGACGGATAGTATTAAAGGAATCGATTAAATTATAAGAAATTTATATATGTATCGGAATACCTGTTGAATTCTATACCTGATTTTGAGGTACGTGTGACTCCTTACGCCAACTTCAAAGTAGTCAGCGAGAGTGAGTATGTCTATGCCATGTGGAACGTTGCCTTGTCTGCCAACATTTTCTTGAAACGCGGCAGACGCTGCTCTTCGGCAGTTTATCTGTCGATGTGACAACGTGCTGCGTGAATTACGAATGCGAGGAAAATGCAAATTATGCATAGGTATACGCGCAACTTGTGTACCTCTCTATCGAAGCACGTTACAACTAATAACATTGCCGCGATCTCTTTGACGTAACGCTCGAAAACATGCGGATCATAGGCTCTTGGAAAAGACCAGCATATGTAACAGGCGGCGTCTCTGATCAAATAACCGATCGAGCCGTAAGTTCTAGGTTCATCGAAGACCAAGGCTTGCAGAACCACGGGAATGACATCGCTCAAGCGATGAGGTAACAATAGGCCACGTCTGCCTGAAATATGCGCGGTAAATATATTCAAGCGATAGAAGGAAAATTCTAACGTACATTTCTAAACGTAAAAGCAATTACCAAGTTCCGCGAGCGCCAAACAGCCACCATGCCACGCTGAGTCTGATTCACGCCCGGAAAACAGATTCAATACAAAACCTAGAACATCGTCAGCTAAGTCTATCGGCAGTCTCGCGGTTATCCTGCCGATACCTTTCGCTGCGGACCACCTATGGCGTGAAACATTAATATGTTAAATAATATGTATAATATAATACTAATAACGAAAATAATAATTATTATATCTGTTTTATTATTCACTTTAACAACTGACACATAAATGCATACCTTATGGTAATCGCTTTGTCCCGAAGACCTTGTACGAGTTGCTCTATTATATCCTCAATAGCCGGGGGAATATCCTGATCTTCATTGTCGTTCGAAATACTTAATTTTTTAATATCAACAATACTTTCAGTATTATCAATATCCGCCTTGGCATTGGGCATAAGACTTATCGGCCGGCTCATCTTCTGGTAGCGCCAGGATGCCAATTTTGTTCTCAATAATACCAGACCTATCAAATATCGTGAAAACGTTTTACATTTTATTTATACAAAAGAGAAATGGATATGGAACGAAGCACATCTCAGAGCTTTGAGATACCTATGCGCTGGACAACTTTTGTTCCAAATTTTCTAATCAGATCTGCTGGATTGTCGCTCAACCGGAGCTTCAACATATTATCAAGAAGCATCTGGCTGTACGGCTTGACGTCTTCTCTGGCGCTATGCTTTAATATCGAGGCTATTACAGCCAGAGGTCCGTGTCTCAAAGGATTACTTTCTATACACTGGAAAAAAATCAAACAATGTACAAGTGGTACTGATAAGAAAATCTGTGACATTTGTGTGATTGTGCGTTCAAGATTGATAAACTAGACAAAATATCTGCTACATTAAATCTATTATTCTGGACTGGTTGTAAATAACATTTGACATCGTTGAAGGGAAAAGCGTTACCTTCAAGCACCACATAATCATTTCTTCCAGGTATAACTTCTTGACGTCCGATCTTGTTAAAAAGCTTGCTATTAAAAACACAGCTGCTACAGCGCACGCGTCGGTCGACAGGCAGTACAGTTTGCATACTTTTAGAATCCTGAAACATACGCGAGAGTTAAAAACAACGCATTCCGTCGCCGCTGAATGAAGCGTTGCTTCGCTCAGCATGGATAACGGCGACAATGGTACCTGACGATGATAGTTTGCTCCGGATCTAAATTCTCGGATGTCTCGAGGCGAGACAGGGGGAACGGGATCTTCGAGATGATGGACAACCAGACGAGCAGGACGTATCTGGTCTCCCACGTCTTCACGTCGTTCGGGTCCTGCTTCTCGAGCATCCTCAGCACCGGCAGGAGGTCGCCCACCTCGTGCGGGAGGTAAGTGACGATCCTCTTGTACGTCTTCACGGACATGATGATAAACAGGTACTTGAACGCGTTATGCTTGACGTTCTCCGGGCAGTCGTCATCCTTGATGATCGACAGCAGGGACTCGAGGATCCTCTCGAGGTACGGGTCCAGGAGATGATGCTGATCCTGGTACTGGGTGAGGATGAAGTTGAAGCGGTCCCGGTTTCGCTCCACGAGGCTCGCCAGCAGATCCGGCCGCCTCAGCTCCGCTATCAGGGCGGTCACCTCGTCCACCTCCTTGAACGTGCTGAAACCGCATCCCACCCTCTCGGAGATGTCCGCGCTGTCGTTCAACACCATCGTTCCGCCGGGTCCGCCGAGAGCTCACTCGCACGGGCGACTTCGCGGATCACAAACCGCCCGACTAAACGCTTGCCGTCGGCGGGATAACCTTAATCATACTGCGCAATTTTGACAGATCCAGCCAGCGTGTCTAGAGCATGATGTAAGTATAAAGGTGTTCCATTCCCGTGGATGCGCAGTCGTCAAAAATGATAGCCAATCAGAAATGGCCAGGAATGTTAGAATTCAATATGGCTGCTGACAGTGTCACACAGAATAAACAGTGTTGGTAAGGTTAAGTGTGCGTATTAAGAGAATGGCTGGCGACGGAGATTGATAGCAGGGGCCTCGAGAATACGGACGTGGAGCCTATTGAGGATATCTTGAAGAGGATATCTTGAAATATTATTCTTTTATTACAAATTTTAAGTTAAAATATATATTTTAATATATATTTAGTAATATACGATTAATAGAGCATTTGAATTTCGCGGCTGCATTCCTGGCCATTTTTCATTGGCCTACTACACATACGTCACTACGGATGACGCCATTATGCGCAATGGTACACCTTTATACTTACATCATGGTCTAGAGGCACCTAAAGGTCTGTTCTTTATAGCTCAACTGGCTGCACTAGCGCAGCGTTTGGGTCCGTTCTTTATAGTTGAACTGGCTGCACACTGGCCGCGTTCAGCGGGGAAAGTTGCTTTGCAACTGTTGTAAAACTCTTGAATCTAATTGGCGTAAGCTCTTAATTATGGCAAAATCTAATAGGGTTTTCGATTTGCTGACTCGACCCGACTCCGAGTCAGAAAAGTTTGACCAAAGGAACATTTTTGCAGAAATTGTGGTTCAAATCTTGCTTTTGATCAAACTTTTCTGACTCGGGGTCGGGTCGAGTCAGAAAATCGAAAACGCTATAAGAGCATGCATCAATCAAATTTATAAATTTTACAACAGTTGCAAAGCAGCTTCTGCTGAACGCAGTCACTCAGGGGCCCCGATTCTTCAATTCATTCGCATGATAAACGTATGCGCAAGTTTTGCTCTTACGGAAAAGTTGCAAGTCGACTGGCTAAAGCCTTGTGTCCACGATCCAAGAACTTGGTTCAAGTTCTAGTTTCGAGAAATGTGTAGCCAATCAATTTGCAGCTATTCCATAAAAGCTGCAAGGTGATTGGCTACGCATTTCTCGGAACTAGAACTTGGACACAGTTCTTGGATCGTGGACACAAGGCTTAAGTCCCAGTCTACAATAGAGATTTAAGCCCTAAGTCCCAGTCTACAATAGATGATTTAAGCCCTAAGCTTTAAGAAATTGGCCAATCACGGTCAAGTATGAGTAGAATGCGCGACTGTCATAAGTCCCAGTCTACAATAGATGATTTAAGCCCTAAGCTTTAAGAAATTGGCCAATCACGGTCAAGTATGAGAAGAATGC